ATGAAGGGTGAAGATGCCAGCTCTGAATGGGAGGATGGGAGAGAGCACTCCTGCCCCAGATGTCTAGCTGACTAGGTCATGACCAACCTGTGAGAAAAAGGCAAAGGTATCTTTTCCCATGCTGCTACCCTCCCTTTACTGCTCCTTGAAATCTAGCACAGGCAAGGCAGCATGCTGTGTTAATGAAGAGGGAAAGGAAGCATAGGTGTCTCTGGCACCACTGAGGAGCTAGGTACAGATTTGGTTTCTTTATGAAATGGTCAAAGACTGGAAGAATGACATTTTTGTGAAGACTAACTACCAAACTTGTATAGCTTTGGTAAAGCCTGCTGTCCGGGATCTTTCCAAAGTCCTGAAGAGCAATGATGTCAGTTTAAAGACCAAGGTGTGCCTGATTCAGGTCATCATGTTTTTAATCCCCTGCTATGAGTCTGAGAGTTGGACAATGAATAAGGATGACAGAAGAGCCAATGTATATGAGATGTGGAGTTGGAGAAGAGTGCTGAGTTTCACAGGACTGTCAGAAGAATAGAAGAACAAACAGGTATATCTTAAATAAATGCTTCCAGAGTGTTCCTTAGAGGCACAGATAGTGAGGCTTTGTCTCACATACTTTGGGCATGTTGTTAAAAGAGGGTATACCTTGGAAAGGGACATCATGCTTAAAAAGGAAGAGGGTCAGTGAAGCAAATGATGATCTTCTAATGAGATGGACTGATAAAGCCAGTAATTACAGCAATGGGCCCAAATTTGTTGTGGATAAGATGGAGCAAGACAGGACAAGAGTTCATAGGGTTGCTAAGAGTTGTATTCAAAAACACTTAACAACAAATACGTGTGTGTGTGTGTGTGTGTGTGTGTGTGTGTGTGTGTGTATGTATGTATGTTACTGTGTGCCATTGAGTTGGTCAGAACCAACCCATAGCAGACCTTCCAGTAGGTTTTCAGAGGCAGGAAATCACACAAAAGGACAGTGCCCATCCTTCTCCTAAGGAGCAGCTGGTGGTAGATTTGAACTAAGTGCCTTGGGGATTGCAGTGCAGCTTCTTGCCAGTAGGACACCAGAGCCCCTATAATACATTCTCTCTCTCATACACACACACATGAGCTATATATATGTATGTATGTATATATGTATGTGTATGTATATTAAAAGCTTCGAGAATTTTGGCTCTTGGTTTGTGTAATTTGATTTTGCCCACATCCAGGCAGACTGACTTATGACCCAGTTCCATTCCAGTGAATCCATCTTAAGTGGTTCTTTTTGGTTTTGAATAGCTTTTATTAGGATTGCCTTCTATTACCAGCATCTTTGTAAATATGGTTTTTACTTGCCTTTGGGGAATGGAAACAAACATAAATTTACACAGAACAATGACAATAGCAAATTATGTGCTATATCATTGTATATAATACATACTGCTAATGATAAGATGTAAAAAAACCCCCACCCAGCTATATTTTTTAATTTGCACAGAACTTGAGTATCAAAATTGCAGACTGCCTGTGCTACAGAAACAGCTTCACTTAATGTATAAATGAATATGTTTTAATAAACTGTTATTTACCAAAACAGGTACCGATAGAGATTTGGCCCCTAGTTCGTCCGTTGCCTACTCCTGATCTAGAGAGTGTTAATAAACCCTGGAAACAGAGGCTACTTAAATTAATCCCAGAGGCTCTCCTCAATGCATTGTGTGACTGTATTTGCTACATTATTCCTATTGTTATTCACAAAATACCATTACCTGAGGTGACATGATGGAAGACAAATCAACATGGTTTCATTTTATCATAAGAACCCCACTTTTGAATACTAAGTCCCTTTAGTCCTATAAGTTTTAGAGCAAATAAAATTTGTTTATTCTTTCTTTTTTATTTCAATGAACATCTACAGAGATTTCGGAATTCCATTCATTCATTGTTGCACTTTTCTCCCCGCCCACGCCACCCCCACCCCAGTTCATTCTCTCCTTG